GGGAGATTTCTTGCTGTCGTATACAAAATAATCGATGTAAATACTCACACTAATAAATAACTTTATTAAACATAAACATATAATTTTACAAAATGCTGCCTCAGCTCATCTGTTTCGTTGGCCTGTTATTATAAATATGAAACATTTATCTATTTAGCATAAAGTAATATTGGCTCATACAACATCCCTAAGCCACTGGATGGCTTATATCAAGTATAAAACAACACAAAAATACTTATCTACCTATTTGTTTTATCTAGATTAATTCCATTTATCTGTCATCTTTATCTAGATACTTTAAGAATTGTTATCTATTATCTTTAACTAGATAAATGTCTATTAATAATCTATTATCTTCATCTAGATAATATTTTAGATATATATTCCCAACACTGGTTGTATATTATATTTAAGTATCTATTTGTTTATGGTCAGTCAAAAATTATGACAATTTAATACAAGATTCCACACAAGTACAACTCGTACTCGTTGAAGTAATTTAAAAATATACAAAACATATGTACACATTTATTTTATTTTTTTTTTGTCTACGATTGAAGTTGTAGTTTTTCCAAATTGAAGATTGATTTATAGTTATAATAAACACATTTTGCATTTTATCATCGTATCATAATGAAAAGGTTTTAACGTAATTTTTGTAATTTTTCAGCAGAACATTGTGGCGGTGTCCACGCCTTGGTGTCCACGATGTGCCAAAACATGTCCGTCCGCTGTATTGAGACGACCAGTGCAAGGTTCGGCCCATCACTGACCATCATAAAGGCAGTAAACGTCGTGATATTCGGCTATTAACGAAATAGCTTATTAAAATAGCTTATTTCTTATAACGAAATAGCTTTATACAATATAATAAAAATGTTCACTTAAATTTTTGATTACAATTAATTATTGAATTGTTTGTACCAATATACGCATTGTAATGACATTTTGTATCAATAAATTATATTCCTAACATATATCACGGTTAATTTATTCAAGCACAGTATAATATTAAGTATTATTATTTTGATAATTAAAAAGTTATTGACATAGTATAATAATATGATGACTGCTATAATATTATTCGTTTGAACCACTTGAAATCGTCCTTTAATTATTCTTCTATCTATCATTATTTACAGCCGATTGTGATATCACGATGGACCGCAATGGCGTTTTGACTGCAAAGGTTTTATCCACAGATTTGTGCATTGTTTAATGTTGTGTCATACTGTCATGTGTATACCTAATAATTTTATTTGGAGGTATTATTTATTTATTTATTTATTGAATATATTCAACGGGCAATAGCCCTTTACAAAGTATATAATATAATAATATGACAACAATCAAAATACATATAAATTAAGTAGGTAATAAAAATACAAAAATTTAAATAATGTTTTAAAATTAAAAATAAATGACTAAGAATAAATGTATACGACAAGTAACAATATTAAGTAATAATAATAATTAGATAAAATGTGGTTTTTTTAGAAGCAATACAGTATTTAGTTTAAAATTTACACGAGTAGAATTAAAAAAATCAAGATGGTGCGAGATTAAATTGGCTAACCTAAGAGCTTTTGGTAGAAAAGAACTATTAGTTCTATAATGTGGAATAACAAATAAATCTAGATTGCGCGTATGAAGACGAGGAATTCGGAAACCAATCATTGTTAATAATTCAGAACAAAGAACAAAACCATTAATAATGTCAAAAATAAACATTATATCTGTTAGATTCCGTCTCAGAGAAAGACTATCGAGATCCAATGATACCTGAATTGGTATAATTGAGTCTCTGGAGAAAGGAAGATTTAGTTTATATGAAATATTTTTGAGAAACTTGTTTTGAACATTATCAAGTTCAGAGTAAAATGTTGTTAGATTTTGAGACCAAACAAGTGAGCCAAATTCAAGGTTAGATCTAACTAAAGAAGTATAAAGTAATTTTAAGCATCTAGGATTTTTAAATTCTTTAGTATTTCTATTTAAGAAACCTAACATCTTATATGATTTGTTGAGGATTGTTTTATGATTCAATTTGAAGCCAAGATCACTATCAAAGTGAATTCCCAAATCTTTGATTGAGTTGACTCTTGATAAGGGACACTCATTAATTATATACTGATTCAAAAGAGGATTAGCTCTACGGGTAAAAGAAATTACATTACACTTATTAATATTTAATGGTAAATAATTTTTTTTACTCCAAATAACAAACTTATCTAATATTGATTGAAGATTTATTTGATCAACTACAGAATTTATATGTATCCATTTACAAAATATAGTTATATTATATTATAAATTATAACGATTTGTAAAAGTCTGACTAATTTATAGTAAAATCTATTGCAAATTAAACCAAAAATAATTTAATAATAATAATAATTTATTCAGCTCAGATAAAATACAAACAAGAAAAGAAGAAAAAACAAACATAAGGAATTATATGAACTGAGCTGCAGATTACCCCTCTCTCTAAGCATGCTTGTGGTGAGAAGGGGTAAAGCAGTAATAAGCAGCAAGGGATAGCAAATTAAACGTACAATAAAATGTAGTTATCTGCACTGGTATCGGATAAAACAAAATACATTTTCATAAGGCAATAACAATTTATTATTATTAGACTACAATTACATAATGTAAAAAACATCGACAGTATATTATTACAGATTACCACAATAGTATTATAAACATGTAGGTAATATAATAATATTATATTCTCTCATGTGTCACACCAATGTCGGGGTTCACCTAAAAAAATTATATTTAAATGTGGAACGTGTTTTACTAAGGACGGGGTGTACTGAAATTAATCAATATCTAATAATAATAATAACAATAATTATACATATTGCCGATGAAGACATAGTGAGTGGCGTATATGTCGTTGTTACAAGGAAACGTGGTACCCGTTGTCCTTCCATAGAGGTACACCGGAGGACTAGATTATATTTTGGTGCGTACCAATAAGAATTTTTTATTTTACTGACCGGATCAAGTCTGAAATTAGCAGGGGAATGGATAAGATCGAATAACGTCGTGGCATACAAAATATTATTATTATTATTAGGCACTGATAGCTACCACTATATTGTCTATTTTTAATTTTATTACGTTTACTATTTATATTATTACAAGCAGCACAATAAGAAATTGTATAATAATATTCTTCTTAACAAGATCGACCAATATTCCACTAAAGATCGACTTGCTTAAGGCATTATCGCAAGAAAATTAATACTATCATTTACGAATATGTTTTAAATTTTAATGCACTTTTAAATATATGATTTTGGCCAGGTTTTTGTAAATTTTCCCAAATGTGTGGTGGTTTGAAAAAAATGTATAAAAAAATTATGCCCTATTTAATGATAATACCAACTATTAGAACTGTTCTGCAAGGGGAAATACATCAAAATTCATATTTAATTTGTATAATATTTATAACCAATACACATCAAATAACATGCTACCAATTAAGTTACTTGCGAAATACCCAGATGTCGTCAACAATGAATAATTATATGCATATAAATGCATAATGAGTAATGACATAAGATGATATGTCATACCTAGCCTTATAAGTTATAATAATCGCAGTCACTCATTTTACAATAATATAATATATCATAAATCATAATATTTTTTATCGATGGAGCTTACTATTCGAGTACCTATAACAAACGAAATATTATGTTTTCTAAAACAACAAAATCCTTTTAAAGTTATAGGTACATGGTTTTCAATTATTCAATTGGCGGGTTTAATAAAGCAACTATATAAACTATAGTACCTATACAGTTATTACCTATTTGACGTAATCGGTATCCGATGGCGTGTTAAGTTAATTATTGGATGAAATATTATGGTAGAAGTTGTTTTATAATGATTAATTGATAATAATGACATCGTAGACTGATTAGTAGATTTAAACGATTCAAAACGAAGTGAAAGTCATCACATACCTAGTTCAAATCCCCAACGATATAAACAGTAAACACCGAGAGATCTTAAATGTATTTTTCTACCTAATATAATATGATTATTGTCACACGAATAGGCGCAAATAGCCAAATTATTTTGGGGGGGACTAAATCCCCTCCAATTATATTTTCTAAAAATTATACAATATACTGATTACTGGCTTTTGAACTTTGGTAACTTGGCACAAATATGGGGGAACTTAGTCCCCCCCCACTATTTGTGCCAATGGTCACACGGACAGTACATTGTAGACTATAATTTAGTTTCATCTCGATATTTACGAAGAAGGTATAAGTACAAGTAGCCAAAATGGTTTATTATATTATTATACTTTAATATGTGTTGTTTGGGGAGCTAGTATAATTTATCAGGCATGTAAAACATATATTTTGTATCATTAATAATTAGATAAATATTGTTATTAAAAATATATTACAATTTATATAACATTTGTATTATAATTGTCTCTTACTATCGAGAGATGATAAAATATGTAGGTAAGTATAGTTTCTGTCCACATTATTTTCACCATAACTGCTCTACCTATTATAATAATGATTTACTAGAATATGAAAATTGAACATGGAAAAATCAATTATTTCTGTTAAACCAATATTTAGATGAGCTAATGAAAAAAAATTTATTTTAAAATACTTTGAAATGCATGTTTTGATATTCAGTTATTTTTAATTCTGTTTGAAAGTAAATCAGAGCGCTTGCGTACTATTTTCAAACGTAATACAGAATAATGGTTTACTAATAATTTAAATTTCCTTTGTAAAATGACTACTCCGGCATTCACACACGTAACTATTTCTTTTATTTAAAATTAATTTATGCACTTTTTTTTTAAACAGTTTTTGAATTAGTAATATTGTATATTTTGTCATATACCTTGTTAAACCTATATTTAGGGTATGAGCCATAATCCAAACACTACAAATTACAATATATACCATTTACTAACGTACAATTTTGTGAACAAAATTTTAAAAAATTGATAAATGGGTAAATTTGTTATATTTGTGTTATTTATTGTTTTTAAAACTGCTATTTCAGCCGATTACAATGAAATGTTAAATGTATTGAAAACCTTTTTTGTTCGGAGACATGTTCAAACCGTGACAGCTGCAAAAACGTGTTGGCCATTTGGTAAATATATAGATACATATTATCAATACAATATATACGTAATATATACGTATATATATATGATAAAATTATAATGCATAGTCTTGACGATGTATGTATCGAAACGAATAAGACGATAATTTAAGAAATATTTTATGTTTTTGGTGTAGACGTCAATAAAAAACTTTTGGACGATCTCTCGTCGGCCGACATATCCGTTTCTTTCAGTCCACCCACGCAACAAACACAAAACTACTCCACGTGGTACAGATGCGCCTTTATAATCGATCTGTCTTGTGGAAATTCAACAGAAACATTACTACAGGTAACTTTTTCCGGATTTACCGAATATGTCAAACTCATACGGGTGCTCATATTATATAGAGTAAATGAGGTACCTACCATAATATTGTTATAACACTACCTATCGCCGTTTTTCGTGTAAAGGCGGGTATCCACTATACACGTATGTCGTGTACACGAAAAATGTTCAGCTATGTCCAACAACACGGTATCGTGGTTAATTGTGTGGTAACTTAACCTATCCAACCAATCACAGAAAAGGATTTGTATACACCAACACGCGTACGAGTAAAATGGAAAACCGTCTTAAATCGTGTGGCTTACACTTTACCAATTAAAATATCACCATTTGGTTTGGTGGTTAGTAAATGCGATTAACTAGTCAAATTGTTTTACCTAAACCTTATTATTTACTAACATGACGAATAAGTTGAAAATTTTGAATATTATGAATCACACACGGTATGCATGGAACTTTGTGTTAGGTGTAGTACGTACCTTCACGGTCATGTATAGTAATTGTATTTTACTGAGACCGTTATAAATGTAATTATTATTGTTTAATTATTTATAACATTATATTATAACAGTAAATAACTATAATTGTATTGTAATCGAATTAAGATTTCTAACGATCGCCTGTTCAATACGCAAAACGATTGGATACTGTTTGATGAGGGTTCGCTAGCGAATGAAATGAGCTCAGCTCAATTTGCATTGCGAACATTTCAAATATATTTGGCCAATGCCTACGTTCTACCGGATGCTGGTGTATTTTTATTCCTTGAGACCTATAATAGTGATATTTGGGAAATTTGGAGTGGTTTTCGGGCCAGTAAATTGGACACGATAAGAGTGTTCGAATACGGCACGGCATCATCAAACCGGTTGACAATAAGTGAATTACATGACGAGAGAAGAAATTTTCGTGGTATTACACTGAAATCTACAACAGTGGTTTGTAAACACCAACATAATATGAATCTAAAATGAAACGAAATAAAATATCTAAGGATTTTTTCAATTAGATAATTGACAGAGATCATTTTTTTGGATTTGATAAAAAAATTAGTTCTGACTTGGACGTATTCGCTCATATGCATTATGAAATGATCGTTACATTGACTAATCAACTTAATTTTAAGTAAGTAAGCAATGTGTAAAAAAAATAATACTTAAATGATATTCTAAGTACGATTGCAAAACATAGATATATATTATAAATATTTTTACAGGATAAATCTTACCATTGACAACGATTACGGATGGTCTCTGGGCAATGGTTCGTTCGGTGGTGTAACCGGACTTTTACAAAGAGAAGCAATTGATTTTAGTGCCACAGGTGTTTTTATTCGGCCAGATAGAATGTCAGTAATCGATTTTACAGTCGGCACAATTGCACTACGGTGAATCGCAGATTAAGTTTAAATTTACAAAATTACTATAAATATTAAATTGGATATTATTTTTTTAAACAGAACCACAGCGATTTTTAGGCAGCCTTCGTTGTCCAGTGTACATAATATTTTGTTGTTACCATTCACGTTTGATGTATGGCTAGGCATATGTGCAACTTTATGTGCATTTGTGCTCACCTTGGTTTTTTTAATGCGTGTAAATAACTACTTCGCTGAGAAAAAATATGCTACACTGAATATTCCAGAAATAGTGACCTTAGTCCATGGAGCTATATGTCAACAAGGTAAGTTTAACCGTACGCTGCAGTGTGAAAACTTCTCTAAAATCACTCAATTTTACCGTATTTAAATAGGTTATTATTATGCCAGTTATCTAATGGTCATGTTAGATGACAAAAGTCCTTACACAGGTACTAGAAAAATTTTAATTTAAATCACTCTCTGAAAATATTTATTTCAGATAAGAATTTTTGTTATTAACATTTTTCTATCAGTATACTTTACCGATACAATCGGTGAGTGTGTACACATTTTTGACTAGCAACTTTCATATACCTATAGTTGATACTGTTAAGACGTAATTTTATGAGTTGTATACTTCTAAGATAAATGCTAAGGAAAAACTAGCGTAAAAATGATTGAGAATAGTAAATTCAAGATTTCATCCAATTCGAATTTTGTTATTTTTGAGTGATTCTAAATTAGTGACTCTCAAAAATCTAAAACTGTATAAAATATACTAAATAGTAAATTGTAATAAATTCTCATCACTCATTGAAATATAATATTTAAATCAAATAAAAAATACTAAAAAATATTTAATTTTATCTCTATCTTCTTTAGATAACATTTTGCCCATTGACTCACAACACTCATCATACGTAAACCAAATTTTGTAAATCAAAAAAAACATTATATTTAGGACTATTTACTATTTAAATACCTATATAGTCAAACGTAAATATACATATGAAAATTATTTTTCAAGAATATTCAAAATCTGTACCCTTGGCACAATAAGAATATGTGATAATAGTTAGTAAAAATACTATAGTCCTTGATCGAACAATTTAAGAAGCCTTAGAAGTTAGTAATGTCACTTCCTAAAACATAAATATACAGAAAATGATTTGTACAGACTGAGTGTAGTTCAAGACAGTATGTAAGAGGCAGGTCTTGCTTTGTTAGTGTAATTTTTCATTTAACAACATTTACTGAGCGATTGGTACAATTTTATAAATTAGTAACAATTCATATCTCGTCGTGTGTATAAATACATTCTTTGATTGAGAAACTTTCAGATTTGAATCCACTAACATATACATACTTGGGTACTTACGCAATACATTAATCCGAGAATATCATATAAATCTTAATTTTAAATCACTTTACTTACCTAGTTAAGACAGAAAAACTCAAGCTTACTATAATATAATCATATTTTTAGGGTCTAATAATTCAACTTCAACCTCGGGATCCATACGTGTTGTCGTATTCGTACTATTTTTTACATCTCTTTTCATATATACGTCGTATTCTGCAAGCATTGCTGCGCTAGTTCAATCAAATAGTAATTCAATCAAGTCTATTAAAAATATAGCAGAATCGCCCATGACATTTAGTGCTCAAATCAGCCAATATGGGAAACATTATTTTGAAGTGAGTACAGTTCACAATATCATACTACCTATTACATAGTGAATAACATAATAATATAATATATCATTATACGTACTATAGTCTTAATTTTCAAAAATTAATTTTAATACAATAATTGTTAAGGTCTATTTAATTTTTTTAAGCATATTATGGTTATTTTATTTTCATTCCAAATAAGTATTATACTGGTGGCTATATTATGCAATTCGAAGGGTGGTTTAATTAATATAAATTTATCATTATAATAATATTATGTTCTTCTAAACACATAGATAAATTAATTTCAATGTGTGAACTTCGAATTTTTGAAAACAACTTTAAACCTTACATTTTTAATTTAAAATAAATAAATAGTTTGAAATAAAGAAACGAATGGTCTTTAATTTTATCGTAATATACTTTTTGTAATTTTGTGTCTTCCCATAGTTAAACACAATACACTCTTATAGTATATCGGTAAGACATTTACCGTCTACCTACTTGTAAATTTGACGTTCATTTTTAGTTTTTAATGTTTGATATTGAAATTATAAATATAAATTTATAGTTGCCTAAAATATATTTTTAAGTTACCAAATACTAACAAGTTATATTATTCGTTACGTCTAAATTCAATAGTTTTTAATAAAATATTATATATTTATGATATTATAGAATACGCATCTATACGACTATACACAACAATTGATATAAACTGTTGTATTGATCTAGGAAACAGAAGATTCAGAATTAAGGAAGCTTTATAAGACAAAAATGGTGCCTAGTGGAAATAAATCGTTCGTTAGAGCTGCTGAAGGGATAGAAAGAATTCGAACGGAGTTTCACGGATTTCAGGTTTTTGTGATATGTTTTTTACTTTCTAGTAAAAATAAAATATATATTTGTTTCTATAGGTAGAAGTAATGTCGGCCTACAAGATTATCAGTAAGGAATGGCGTGAAGAGGAGAAATGTGGCTTGGGTGAGATACAACTTTTCAAGATACCACTTTTGTCAATAGCTTTAGTCAAAAAATCAGGACACAAAGACATATTCAAACAAAAGTATGCATTCAAACCACCATTGTTGACAATTTATGATCCTCCGTTAAAGTCCATTATAAAAATTTCCCATTACATTTTTCTACGATCAGGCTAATACAACAAATGGAAGTCGGGCTGAATAAACGAATCTCTAGTCAATGGTTACCTCCGAAGCCATCGTGTGGATCGTCCGGTAGAGCCAAACAATACGTTAGCGTTTCTGTCAAAGAAACATATCTAACCGTTGCAATATTTGGATTCGGTGTATGCATTTCGTTGCTGATTTTTATACTGGAAGTATTACAACACGCCTGGACGAATCGCGGATCCAAAAAAAATTTGTGGAAGTAAAAACTAACGGTTTACATATGTTTGAAATATACAATAATAGTTTTATGACTTTATGAGTCATAACTATTAATTTATGACTATTATTATTATGACCATGCTTACCATAGGAAATAAATTATAAAACTACAGTTATATTTTTATTTCAGTTTAATTAATTTATTTATCAAAACAATATTGCCTTTTATAATATAGTGATCTATTTTATATTGATTTATAATATATATTATTATAATTTTCAGCTTGCAGTAAAAATGATATTGAAATATACAAAATTAAAAAGTACGCAATGTTTGTTTTTTTATGTATATTGCATAGTTTAAACAATATTATTCTAATTTAAGTGAATATATTAAATCATACAAATTCGTGCACACAATACAGCATGTGAATATTTTTTTGATATATTATTGTTTATTTTAATGTTTAAGTTAAGTTTAAAAAATATATGAACATAAATAAAAAGTAAATAGCTTTTAGAAAAACAATAAAAGATTAGGTACCACTCTTTGTAGATTTCAATCATGCCGATAACATGGGTAATAGTCTTATAATATGTTATGTATAACCTTAAAATTAATGTTACAGTTTTCTCAGTCAATTTGGTTTTGAAAGTTTTCAAATTAAAATATGTAGATTATAATATTCTTATAAGTATAAATAGGAGTTTTCTTTTCCTTTATATTTGAATTTATATTTAATATTTGATCATTAAATTTATTAGTCTCAGTGTCTTACACAGTCTTATGAGTTTCAATTAAGATGGTTAATATCATAATAGTATTAACTTGGCTGACTAAAATAATGAATTCAGAAATTAATTTAAAAAAAAATTAAATTTGAATTTTCTTCTCTTACTTACCATTTAAAATGCATTTAATAAACACACTTTTTAGAAAATTAAATAATTAAATACAATACAACAATAATTTTGACTTATATAATAGCCTCAATAATGTATTTGTATATTTTTATGAATATTAGTTACAACCACAAATAATTTAAATGTCACACACTTTTTATTATTTGATTTTTTTATATTAAACATATATAAAGAAAATCTTTAACAACTTAATACAGAAATCTAGTGGTTGGTGAGTTAAGTACTAAATAATTCATCGTGCACGATTTTTTTGAATTTCCAAAAAAATAAAATTATTATATTAAAATTGGGTTTTGGAAAGTATTATAATATTTTAAAAGTGTTTCAAGTTCGTGGCTAAAAGAGTTATAAAGTATAAATAATTACTTTGCAACATAGAACACAGGTATAAATGATGAATTTTTAAAATTATTTGATTTATTTTTCATTTTTTAAATTTTTTAATGGAGTTAAATGACTTAAAATGTTCATTAAATTATCCATTTAACGAGCTACTTTTGTTCATTTATAATGGTACATGTTAAAATATAAATCCGTTTGAACCATTATAAAATTGATAACATATTTAAATTTTAAATTATTAAATATCATTATTGGTATTTGTGACATGCATGTATTGTTAAATAGTACCTACTACCTACGTATATTATAACGTACAATAATAACTATTATTTAGAAAATACATTTGAAAATATATTCGTAATATTATTCTCTTTCATTTTATTGCATGTAAAATTGGTATTTACTATCTAAACACATTTAATATTTAAGAATTGGTTGGCTGACAAATCACTAACTCTATTGAATTAAACACGCAACTACCTATATATAAACTCGAATATTATTATATTCGTTCTATTTATTTTATTAGTAGAACCATTGATTATAAAATAATACTTGTATTCATAAATTCATAATCAATGGTAGAACTTTTGTACACCATTTATACATTTGTATAACAACTAACTAATAAAAATGTTTAGATTGTGTAAATTTGTTTTATTTTTTACAATATTTGGTGTCGTTAATTGTAAAAATTATAATGCTCACAGTAATTTACTAAATGGCTTAATAAACATGTTCAAGAATATGAGTGTCCACACAGTTTGGACTACCACATGTTGGGACACAAGTAAGGACACCTTTTAATAAACAAAACTTTATCTGATATTAATATACTAACTACGAATCAATTACATTAAAAATAAGTTTATTATGTATTAAAACAATCAGTTACAACTTATAAGCATAGTACCATTTAACTTATCTGATCCGAGAAAATGTATTACATTTCATAAATCATATATTATATATATACTCCAAACAATCAATTTGGCTTCCGTACAAACCATAGCACCATACACCAAGTCCACCGCTTAGTAGACAAAATCTCATTCTCTCTGGAAAAAAAACAAATATGTACAGCCGCATTCCTAGACATGGCCCAGGCCTTCGATAAAGTGTGGCACCAAGGCCTCCTTTTCAAACTGAAATCCATCTTCCCACCCTACTACTACCTATTGTTTAAGTCATACCTTGAAGACAGGAACTTTGTCGTACGCTCTGGCTCAACCTTATCTGAAATAAACCCCATCCATGCTGGAGTTCCCCAAGGCGCCGTAGTAGCTCCACTTTTATTCAATCTATACATCTCTGACCAACCAACAACCAACAATACGATCACAGGTGACTTTGCCGATGACAAAGCTATTATGGCGCTTAACTCAGACCCTGAAATAGCCTCCAACCACATTCAAGTCCACTTAAATCTTCTCCAAACCTGGTATAAAGATTGGGGAATAAAAATAAACGAATCAAAATCAGCCCACTGCACATTCACTCTAAGACCTAGAAACTGCCCTACCATAACTCTCAATAACCTACCCATTCCACCCACACAAAATTTCCGATATCTCGGACTCCACCTGGATCGTCGATTGACCTGGGCCCACCACATCCATACCAAACGTATTGCTTTGAATAACCGATCCCGTCAGCTACGTCTTCTCCTTACATCTAAACACATCAATCTGAACAACAAAATACTTATATATAAATTACTACTAAAGCCCGTATGGTCATATGGTATACAACTTTGGGGTTCAGCCAAACCATCTAATATAAAAAAAATTCAAATATTTCAATCTAAATGCCTTCGACAAATTACCAAAGCCCCTTTCTACGTCTCAAACGATACACTCCATAAGGACCTCTCTATTCCAACAGTTCAACTCGTAGCCAAAACTCTGTATAAACGATTCCACTCAAATCTCTCCAACCACCGCAATCCTCTAATCTCAAACTTATCTACCCTCAGCATTCCAGGTGACCCTGGAAGACGTTTAAAACGAAAATGGTGTCGGGACCTCCTGACTGAATAAAACCTATCCACAACTCCAAGAAGTACCATCACTGGATGGTTTCTTCGCTCAAATTATCTGTCTTTCTCTCTTTATTTGTATTTGTATTTTTATTTTATTAATCTACAACACTTACACTTATTGTAAAAATAATATATTTACAGATTGTGTAATAAAACTAATTAAAAACAAAAAAAAAAAAAATATATTATATATGAATCATTACACGAGTTACATGCATAATATTGTACTTAATAGATAATAGACGAAAAAATAGAATACGTTTTGGGATATATAATGATTATTAAAACTAATTCAATTAAAATATTGTAATTACTTTTCATGTTGACAATATTTTACGTTTTATTTAATAAAACAAATCATAAATCATTTATAATTACTATATGAATCTACGTCTAAATTATGTAACAGCTATAAACTATTGGTAATAAGTATACTTACCTATTAAATAATACTATGTTTTATTAATACACATTTTTGTGTTTGCATCCAATATAGGTATTAACAGTGAATTTCTTATGAAACTCTCAAACGAAGATATATCGATAAATTTTCATTTAAGAAATATACTGTCGAGTGTACATCAGACGCAAAAAGAGTGGTTTAAATCTGGAATATTAGTTGACTTGTCATGCGATGAAGCTTCCGATGTACTTCAGGAGGTTGAATTTATTGTAGCAATTATTTTTTTAACCTAATATCTTACATAAGTTTATAAACTATAACTGTGAACAGAGTTTCAAATGAAATACATAATAAAAAAAAAAACCATACTGGTGCATCAATGGGTGTTGAGAACTTATCTCGTTTCATTTATAAAGGGGTCGATGCACACATTTAACAATAAGAACCAAGTTCTGATAATAGTGTAAAAGTATAAAAGTTAATAAGAAGATATAAAATTGACATCAATAACTTTAGAAAATAAATATCGATCAACGGTAAGTTATCAAAGCCGATTACCCTGTAAAATAATAATGACTCGAATAGGTATATTATGACATTATTCAACTGGTGTGGGAAAACGTGGATATACCTATACGTAAACATTTAAAACTAAGAACTTAAAGGATATAGTATAAATTTGTATTGAATCTGAAAGGTAATAAAAAATCAGATTTACAGGTTAGTTACACTGGACAAAATAGCAATATAGTGTAAACCATAAGTTATGTAATGTAAGGTTCTAAATTATTATTATTATTGTTATTATTATTATTTATGTTATCGCTATTATTATACAATGTGACAGACTAGATGCACACAGTCCATTATAGTTAGTTAGTTCCCAACACGGGCGAGAGGAACAACTCCGTAAACCGTAATAAAATATAATATATCATACGTTATTGAATGTGTGTATTTATTTACAGTACCTAAGTACTTGTATTATACTGATGAAATATTTTAATATTTTAATATTTAATCAAAATATATAATATAAATATAATAAAATAAATATTTTAATATTTAAACAAAATATATTATATAATATTACGAAAAATATAGTACCTATTTTATTTTATAATATAAACATTAAACAGGCATCAAAAAGACGCCTGTTCAACCTTCAAAACGACTGGGTTCTTTTTGATCGGCACGGAAATCCGAATAAAACAGACACCCTAGAAATTGCTTTACACTCATTCAGAACGCATATGAATCAAGCCTACATGATGCCAGACTCGAGGGTGTATCTATTGATAGAGGTTGATAGAAATGTCTGGGAAATATGGGAT